AAGGCATTAACATGGGGTATGATCAAAAGATTTGTCCATCATGGTGGAGCATGCTATTTCTTATAAAACAGACTCACTTTCAGATTTATATACCTCATATGAATACAAGCTCTGCTCAAAACCCGATTAAAGTAAAATAAGTAAAAGTAAAATCTAGTTTACAAGAAATATTTATTACTCCATGAAGATTACAAATTACAATATATACATTTACATATATGTACAAACATGGCAATTTACATAAACATTCACATACTAAACTAGCCTAAAAGTCCATAGGGATCTAACATCAGTTTCTTGAGGTATCATTGTACATGTAGGAAACATGGTTTATTTCTTAGTGCAGAAGGTTTACACATGTAGATGATGTCCGATAGTCCTCTTATTTAAGTGTAGTCACTTGTCTTGCCCATAAGGTCCTATGGAATATATGTCACTTGCAATGGACTTGGGAGATTTGGCACTTTCCACTTCTGGAGCGATCCAATACAGATGGGTGGTGGGGGATTTGGAGTAGCGCATGGGGAAGTCAATCCTGTTGCCGAGTCCGATGTCAATAAGGGTCCCTGTTAGTGGCTGACTGACTTGCCTGCTTGCAGTATAACAAGTCCTAATTAGGAAGATGAACTTAAATTTTGAGCTTTGTGGTTACCTTACTGCATAAAATCAACAAAATAAATAAGTTTTTTTAAATACGTTTGTTTCTAAGCTTGTCAAACTCTATTCCTGTATAAGTCATTTTCAAGTTTATATTGTTTCAAGCGCCTATAGCCTCCATAGTAACTTTATGAGACCAGTCCTCTTAAAAATATTAGATTTTCTTTATCATCATATACCAATGCAAATTGTGGAGTGACTGCTCAATCAGTTCCTTACATTAGCCTAGTTATGCTAATTAAACTACATTTTTAATGAGAAATTCGAAAATGTCAACACAGATAATTCAGGTTAATATAAAAACATCAAACAGCAATTTAGTGGTTATCAACTATGATTGATCCTTGATATTCCTTCAGAATTGGGTAAATGCAATAATTAATCCCTTTTTTGAGTGCCAGGTAGACATTTCCAATACATTGTGTACCCCCAAATGCCAGTTTGTGTTACTGGATGTATACCTGATGTCTTTCAATAGAAAATATTAGAATACCTTTTTAATTAGAAATTAGGAAATGTCAACACAGAAACTTCAGGTTAATATAAAAATATCAAACAGCAATTCAGTGGTTTTCAACCATGATTGATCCTTGATATTCATTCAGAATGCAATTAATGCAAATTACATTCCATTTTTTTTTTGACTCGTCACTGGATGGGGAAAAATAAACAACTAAGTATTGGTATCGTGACAGATCAATTTGATAGGAAATGGAATAAATACAATAAAGTAAATGGTAGCCTGTCAATAAAGTCATAGTCTGTTTTCATTGATCTCAGAGTTTTTGACTTTGAATTGATTGTTTTATCTCTTTGTGTAATGTTAATCAAGTCGGTGCGGATATGGCAGTATAGGCATGGATGAGTGCTTGCAGTGTCGGCCAGTCCCATACACTTGCATAGATATGCAAAGTCCCCATAGTACTATCGCACATACATACTTTTTACTATTCCAAGTTGCATCTTATAAATTGTAAATTTGGGGGATAAATCTCCAAAAGAGTACTTCTAAGTTTTTTCTTGTATCCATGGAACAAAAAGCCACAAACACAAGACAATTTTTGTTTTTTTGGATTTGGTGTATTCAAAATGTGAAAGCACATTTTGAAACTACCTCCCCAAGCATCTCAGCCAGCCTTCACCCATTTTCCATTTTGTTGTTTCATTTTTACTTGAAGTTTTTTCTGTATTAACATTGTATATCTTTTTCTTTTTTTCACTGATTTTTTCCCAACTAGGTGCAAAATTTTGTAGACCTAAAAATGTGACATTTCTATTTATAAAAACGTCGACTTAAACAGAATGCATATTCCTCCAATTCCTTTGTTTTATTCACACCAAAATTCTTTTTTTCCTAATGGCTCCAGCATACATTTTTCCGAAGCTCATCTGCCATTTGTGTCTCTTGTTTAACTGTTAGTGAAGGTCCAGGCTGAATGGCTAGATTGAAGTAAATCATGGTAGCAAATTTATGTAATAGTTAACAAAATTTTGTGAAAATTTGACTTCATTTTACAAAGACATGATTCTGAACACCACAGTAAGCCCTAACCAGTTTTGTTCACTTAATTGATCAAATCAGAAAATGGGAGAGTGGTGAAATACATAATTAGTAGTTAGCCTATATAATAAGTAGTTATAAATAGGTATATTTTTTCAGAAAACAAACATTCAGAAAACAAAATTATTTTCTAGAAAACCCTGCAAAAATCATAATTAATATTTTGAGTTTCATTGGAATATTAGTTTTTCCATTGCACTTCATGAATTTCCCATCTACCCCTTTGAATTGGGTTTCTACTTCTTTCATTTTGTTGTTATTTTTATTTATCTCTTGGAGGGAAAAGTACATTGGAATATTAGTTTTTCCATTGTACTTCATGAATTTCCCATCTGCTACTTTGAATTGGGTTTCTATTTTCATTTTGTTGTTATTTTTATTTATCTCTTGGAGCGAAAATTACGCTCTTGAACCAAAAATTACGCTCTTGAACCAATAATACTGACACTTGTTCCCGTCTCTACCAAACAACCTTTGATGTTTTCACCTATACATACACACACAGACGCACTATTTGCTTTTGTTGGTGTAGTATTTACCGTGTGTGTCTTATATAATTTTGCATTACTAGTTCCTTTTCGTTTCATCACAGGTCTTTTTAATAGTTACTTAAAGGTTTTTATTGATTTTTGAGATGTATTCTCCATATATTGTATTGTCAGTGTATGTGTTTCCTCTGCAGTTCCTCAAGTTCCTCAATTTTTATTTTTTTTAAAATTAAATTGTACTAAAAAAGTATTAAAAGATTTAATTGAGCTGCATTGTCCCATAAACGCTTCACCAGGTTCTCATTTTCTTTTGTTCTTTCCGCCAGTTCTTTTTCCAATAACATTATTGTTTTTGTCTTGTTGGTTCACGTTGAGTGGACGTAATAGGTGCTGCTTTGTACCTGAAATTGGTAAAGTAGTCTTTCCGTGGATTTCCCGCAACTGTTCACCCTTTTAACATTCGGAAACACATTTTTTATTACGCATCCAATTGCAACGGGATTTAGAGCCTCTTTGATCCTCTTGGCATTTTGGGCGTTGTACTTCCCCAGTATTTCTCCAATACACTTCAACCTAATGCCCTCTTGGAAGACTCTGTTACTGTCATTTGGCTGACTGTAGGTGAGAATCTCTGTCAGATATTCCTTTGCATGTTGAGATATTTCATTTTTGAATGTAGATATTTTTCTCGGCATGATGCGTATTTAACACTGAGGTGGTCAAATTCCAGTGCTATAGTACAGCTTCATATTCGTAGGTTGCAGTGCTTGCTAGCTTAAATTGGTCCATAGGGAAGTTAATGTTGCATCACAGGGCCATTAATGAGCAGCAATCAATTTAGCAATTAGGAATACTTTTGAAACACAACTGATTCTTCAATAAAATTTTTATTTCGCAAGTTGTTATGCCATCTTCGTTTGTCGTTTGCATTATTTAATTTCTCTTTCTACGTTTTTTAAGCAGGGTTGTGTAAAAACGAAAGGTTCAGTCTTGTATTATGAACAGAAAATTTAATTGTTACTTCAAATAAATTTGTTTTAATGATTTAAAGGTTTAAATACAATGTGTTATAAAATCAAAAAGCAAATAATGGTACAAACTTATTTTAGGAATAATTAACCAGTTTTATATGGATAAATCTGCTAAATTTACGTTTCAATCATCATGTTAAATTTTCATTGGATTTTTCCTTTTAACATACCATACACCTGCTGCAATATAAAATAAGAGTATTAGCTGGGTGGTTTATTGGAAAACAATGACACAGTGTTCATGTTGTGATTACTGTACCATAGTATAGTTTGGAATAATATGCACCATGGAATCATTGGCAATATCTATCTTAGGTTTCCAAAGTACATTATGTTCACACTACAATATGTAACTGGTGGGTTTTATAGGAATTTTATATGGATATCTCAATATGGAATTTGTAGTTACTTCAATCAAATAAAAGCAGTAATGGTTTAAAATATAGAAATCACTTTACTAACATGGCAACTTAATATGAATATGTAACTAACAGAACATCTTAAATTGGCTATTTGTAGTTTCTTTGATCCAACAGGATAATCTAAGACTAATTACTACCTGGTACTATTCTACAAACTATAACTAATGGTCTATTCAGAAAGTCTGAATAGAGTCATCTGGTAAAGTTGGTTCAAAGTGTGAGTGTACAGGTCACGTGAATATGGGTTAAAATGCCAAAAATTACTGAAGGTGAGAGGTAAAACAAAATTATTAATTAATTTAATCAATAGCAAAGAAATAAAGAATTTAACGACAATCGGCAAAAAGTGTCAATACAAATTGAATAAAAGTTACAAAATAATGATTGAAAGATACAAAATACGGAAAAGACCATGCCGTAAATACTGGAAAAGTAAAATACTTAATTTGCCATTTCCAACATGGCCTTCAAAACAAAGTGATTTTAAATATTCTAAATCTGAGAGCAAAAAGGCAAATATAAGGTAAATATGTACACTAAACTACAACTTACTAACATAAAATATAAACGGAGGGGTTAAATATGACGCCCGGCGATCGGAAAAGACCAAGGGTTTACCACCTTTTGATCGCTGGTCGTCACATCACTCCCCCTTTAAAAACAGGTTCGACCCGAACCAACAGAAAGAAAAAATATATATATATATACACAAGAGTCCATTGACTAAAAAAGTCCATTGTTGATTTAAAAGGCCTCATTGGCAGTGTTCATAATCATAATAACTCATCCATTGAGTCTGGAGGGGTGAAAATGAAATGGTCCATTGAGTCTGCTTTGGACACCCTCTCCCCCTGACTTACTTTGTAACGATCTAACTCATCAGGGGAAAGGGCACCCACCATTTTGTCAGGCAGGACCACCTCCAGGCTCATCAAGGGAATAATCTCTGAGGGTCCCTCCTTCATTGCTGTCCTCTTTTTCTTCCTCCTTCGCCTCTTCTTGGCAGGCCCACAGACCACAAGGTGTGCGTCGCCTACCACCCTGGTGGCGGAATCTGAAGTGGGGGACGTCTCAGGAGTTTGGGCAAGGGTGCCCTCAAACTGGTGAATGAGCTCACCAGTGATGACACCCCGCTCCTGGAAGACGACCTTCCTCTTGGAGAGTGTAACTGTAATAGCCACAGGGGGACTTGCAACGATGGCTAGCACTGATGGTTCTTTGAAGCGTGCCAGCTTCACTAGAAGGCTCTCAGGGACTGGGGTTTGAGTAGTTGGGCCTTGGGGCTCAGCAAAGCGTGCCACCCAAACTACCGCTTGGGGTTCAGTCTCTGGAGTTGGGGCTGTGGATGCAGCCTCAGTAGTTGGGGCTGGGGGCTCAGCAAGCCGTACCACCCAGACTACTGGGGACTGTTGAAGCTGGGAACTCTTCTTCATTAGTTTCACCCTTGCCCGACAGACTTTGATGTGTGCCTTCAGGAGTTCAAGGGATGGTGAGGGTTTGAGGGTCACTATGGACACATACTAAAGCAACATCATTTAACATGTTATGGAGCACACCTCATACCCATCTAACCAGGATGGTACCTTTGCCTGACGAGAGGGTCGTTTACTTTGATCAGGAGTTGAAGGACCTGGGGAAATTGTTTGGGAGTCCTCCTCAGGGGTGGAAGATGGAATGTCAAACGATTGCTATGGACAACCTTTTCTTTTCCCTTTATTTCCAACATGTACCTGTCCGTTTATTTTAAATGACCACCAATGTTCTTCTTGACCAATGTCCATTATTACTTATTACTTAAAGTCTTTTATGATCAATGTTATTGGTGTCCCTTATTAATAAACGGATCTAAAGTTCCTAAACATAAAGACCGAGACTTTATATAATTTTCATCTTCACTTTATTTTCTAATTTCCAATTGTACAAAGTTTTACACAATTCCATTTCTTCAGATCTTAAACATTCCTCCACTTTCCAAACCCATCTTACTTTTCTATCTACCCCTCATCTAACTTTCTAACCTGATCGTATCATTCTTAATAGTCCTCAGTTTTTGCTTGTCTCATTTACACACATTTATATACTCAGACATTTAGTCTACTACATTAACTAAACTTTCGATCTCAGCAACCTCACAGGCCCATTATTCTACCTCATATTTTCTACCTCTATTTTCTCCTTTACCTCTGGGAAAACGTTCAAACCATTCTCTCTAAGAGAATATATTCTGCTCGAGACACTTTGCCACACCAAATTCCACAGGAGGTACTTTCCCACTCCTGTAGAAGGTTTCCCAAAATAGATAACACATAAACCGCTAAGAATTACATTGCATAAATCAACCTCCTTTGGAATGCAACGTGGAAAAGATTATGTGAGAAGTATTGTTTACATCATGCAATTCCTTATGATATGAACATTCTTGTCGAAATGATAAACAGACACATACCGTATTCGTTAAATTGAGCAAATTTGAAGCTCAACAACATTACCTTATTCATTACTAAAACTGTCCTTAATATTGCATCATTTTAACCTTTCTTATATTACTCACATACCTAAGATCATCTAGTTTCAGGAGAACTTTGAAGGGGCCATGCCAATGATTGGCAAATTTGGGGATTTGACCTGCCTTGGCTAGGGGGATGTAGCCAGACTAGATCGTTATCATGGTACTCCACTAGGTTAGCCTTTAAATTATATTACCTCTTTTGGTTATTACTCAACAGAGAAATATGCTTACAGGCTGTTTCATGGACAACAGCCTGCCTTTCTTTGAGATTTTGACAGCAGGTGGTTGCAGTACTGTCTTGGGGGGACACTGTTATAACTTGGGGGTGGCCGACCAAGCACCAGATCTGCTGCAATATGTGGGCGACGACCAAACATCAACTCAGAGGGAGCAAATTTGGTCGTTTCATGTACCGCAGATCTGAGGGCAGACGCAACAAAAGGGAGGAACTGGGGCCAATCTTGGTGATGGCTTGAAACAAGTTTGGCGAGCATGGATTCAATGGTCCGGTTAGCTCGTTCGACGAGCCCATCAGACTGGGGATGATAAGGGGTGGTACGGGTCTTGTTGATCTCAAAAATACGATAAACCTCCTGGAACATCATTATAAGATATAAAAACTGTTTTGTAATTGTCCTTCCTTATTTTATTGAATCTTTTTTCATTATGTGGCAAATTTCTCAGCCACTCTCTGGTTTTATTTGGAATGAACATGACGTATGATTCATTAATCAAAGTTGATGCATTTGGCCTCCATTTCATCAACTTGACTAACTGGCAATAAAAAACTCTTGAATGTGCTTGAACATTGCTCCACCAGTTCTCAACACACTGCTTCATCAGAAAATTTGATACTTTGCAAATGATCAGCAACCATTCTTAGTAGTACATCATATAGAGCCACACATAAGCCCTGTAGCATAGCTTGAGTTACATCATTAGTGATTTCATATGGTTTGAAGAGCTTACATGTCACATTGTCTCTCTTTATATAATCTGGACAACCAGATTCTTACCATTTTAAGAGTTCCGAAGTATCCTCTTTTGTATTTGTCACGGAGTTAACCAACTCCCAAGTTTTACATCAAGGATGTGGCCTTTTTCTCTCAACAAGTCTCCAAAGTAGAGATGTAATACACTTTGAGACTATTCCAAGAGAATGAAGTTCTGCACATACTATCCTGTCTTCTAAATCAATTAGTACAGTCTTGTGTAAGGAGTTGGCTGTCGCATGTACTCAACTGAAGAAGCGAATGATATCCTTTCTGTGAAAATAAATACTGCATTTATAAGCAATTATGCTTGTATCTTATAACATGATTTTTCTTACAATGTTTTTTGCTTGTAAATGTAAATGTGTAGAATTTTTTGTTAAAATTAGTAGCCATTTACTAAAGTTATCTGAGCTTTTACTCAATAGTAAAAGACTTTTGATACGGAGGGTATGTATTTCTACATGCACATAATTACATTACTTACAATAGAAATTTAGAACAAGGCCCTTTAACAAATTCTGATGTATTATGACTCACTTGTCTACTTGCATATATATGTATTCAAGAACAAGTCACTCAGTAACCATAATTGTGGATGAATAACCAGCACATCTTTAGCATACCATAGGCATTTTCTATCGAAACCTGAAGTCTTCTCTTGAAGTCTTCATTGGTGAGATAAGCAATACGTGTGATGAGCACAATCACCTAGAATGATATTTGTTCCTTGTAACTCACCATTTACAAACCTCCTAGATAAGGAACATTTGTTCCAAATGAATCCATCCTGATCACATGCACCTAAATAAAATATGTTAAATGAATCAATCGAACAGTCCTACCCTTCAAAAACTTCGAGTCACTTTCTGTTTTTTTAATAGCAGTATGGCATGGGAACAATGTATGCCAAATTCCAATGCTAAGTGTTGAAAAGCGAGAGTTAAAAAAGTAAAATGATTTCCCTACAGTTCTCAAGTCATATTTCTCAATGTGAATTAGGAATAAATGGTTTTTGATCTGGAGCACACAAAGGAAATGTTTCTGGATACATGTAATACAGCCATATCCATTTATACTCATTAATTATGTCATTGATCAAAGATGTTTTTTTACGTTTGCCATTAACTGTTCCAACTGAAATTAATACCTTAAATTTCATATCGCAACACAACTCCTGCAGGGGAGTGAGGAGAGCAGATCTGTCTGTTATCCTTATTAAATTGATCATGCCAAGGACCCTAAGTATTGTCCTATGAGGCATGCAATATTGTATTAATAAGTTTCATCATAAATATCTAAAGGATTCGAACGCCCTCTAGGCAGTGCTCTTTGGTTGTGTACCAAGATCAGTTGAGCCATTTTTTAAAATAGCAGTCAATGGATGCAAAGACATACAATTCTGAAATGTTTTTTGGAGTCCAAACATTGCATTAATTATATCAGAAATAATAATTCTATTAACATAAAATTCTCTCTAATCCTCAATTAATTCAATTCCTTTCTGATAAAAAAAATCAGATGTAATTCTTGTGATGACTTTTTGTGCTATCTGAGGCCAAAGAGCATCACTATCACCGAACATATTCAATTAATACAGTGTTCCATATAAATACTACAAAATATTACAAAATGCTAAAAACCTGACCCCTTATGATTAGGTTTGCACATATTTCCTTGCATTCATGATAGTAATGCATACATATACTGAAAAGTAATTGATTAACCTATGTAAAACTGAAGAATGAAAGAGGCTTCTCTGGTTGCAAAGTTATTGCAAAATATATCTTTGGGTTCAAACCTTGGGACCCCAAAAACCTTTAGAGGGTGTAAAAAACAAAAAAAAACATTTAAGGATTAAATACCAGGTGGATAATGACACAGTCATGCATGAAGGAAGCTGCAACCTCTTTGCGATCTCCATCATTAGTAAAAAGTGTTAAGATCATAAAACAAGACAATTTTAGGAGATCACACTGGAATAGCCTGGAATAGAGAAATGAGGAGTTGAGTAAAAATGACAATTTTTGTTAACTTCTATTTGAAAAAATAATTTTAAGACCCCTACTCTTTCCAACTTAAGCAGGATTTTTGATTTTTTCCACATTTAGCCACAGTAGTGCATCATGCATGTATATGTATTTCCTATAAGTTTTTAAAACCTGGGCCTTGATACAACCAGGGTAAGATAAATCGAGTAGTTATAATAGCATGTGCAGTTCAATTCTTTCTCAGTACATTTTACTTTTCAGATAGCAAACCATCTTTTTGGATTACTGATCCAGATTAGGCTAATATTTGGTGAATTTGTACGATCCTAAGATTTGGGGGAATCCCCAAGATTTCATTGGAACTCGGATAAAATTTATCCAGGGGGGGACGATTTGCTATCTGAAAAGAGAAATCCCCTTGGGAAGTTCTGGCTATGGGCCTGGATAGGGTTTCAAAACTTCAATTGAGTACTTAAATTAAATTTTGCCTACCGTTTAATTCATCAGGTTTCTCTAATATGTCTATAGGCCTATAATATTTGTCTGTGGTCTCTGTTGAAGGAGAGCATTTGAATCGAACCTGGGATCTCTAGATTTAAATATACCTTGGCACATTCTGCCTGTGCAGAAATAACTCTTTGGACAAAACACCGAAGTGTCTAGATTTATATATGATACTCCCATCTCTTTCACTA